GGCAGGGATTGTAGGTGGGGGGGAGTGAATATCCAGCGCTCTCTCCACCTTCAATACCACGACTGAGGTGAGATCCTTTAGCAAGGCACCAAACCCCCAACTGCTACCCGGGTGCCGTAGGATTTGGCTGCCCATTGCTCCGGTTGTGTGTTCACGGTGTGTGTGTGTTCACGGTGTGTGTGTGTGTGCGCGTGTTTGTTTACTACTCGCTGCTGTGTGTGTGTGCACTCGGATGGGTTAAATGCAGAGCACAAATTCCAAGTATGGGACACCATACTTGGCCACACGTCCTTTCCTCCTTTTTAAAATTTCAGAATTTTAAGATATCAACTTAGAATTATGAGATATAAACACACAAATACGAGATATAAACTGAGATGTTAAATCGCAATCACAATTCTGAGAAGAAAAGTCAGAACTGCGAGATATAAAGTAAGAATTGTAAGAAAAAAAAAATCTAATATGTGGGATAAAAGTCACAATTAGCCTTTTTATTTTTATATTATGTGGTAGAAACGGGTTTCCATGCTTAAATGGTTACTCCACCCCAAAATGAAAATTTTGTCATTCCCCCCCCATGTCGTTCCAAACCCGTAAAAGTAACCCTTTAACTGCATCCTGCCGACTTAAAAAAAAAAAAAAACACTTATTTTTCTCTGTCTTCACTATTCCTATATCCTTCCTTTTTCTAGCTTGTACTATTCTGGACAATGTTTGAAAATGCTATTGCTAACACTTCTTGTGGTATCTCCTTCTTAAGCCAAATTGTTGTATTCCTTATTTGTAATTCATATTAGATAAAAATATCTGCTAAATGAATTAATGTAAATTAAAGATTACAAAAAACACATTATTTTCTTTGGGAAAATGTGCGCTGGTAAATCATGCCTAATAAGACCAGAAACATGTGTTAAGAGGGTACATTTTGATTTTAATAACTCATGAATCGCACATTTGATTATTTATATTTTTTCTGAAAGCAATTTTTGCTGTGAATCTTCACCGCTAACACACTTATGACTTGAGCTGTCATGCCGCAGATCACATCGCTTTAAATATGCAAGGCTTGTTAATATTTGGGTAATGATCTTAATTTAAATTCTTCCATGTCACAAGTCTGCATCACGTACTGCTATTTACCCGGCCTGTGAAGGCGAAGGCAAGAAATAGAGGCGAGAGATAGCGCAAGAAAAGGAGAGGGAGAGTCTGCATCTGATAAAGTCATGCCACTCTGAACTGTACTGATGTGAAAAACAGATGTAGGCGATGACCTGTTATAGGCTATCACACTACACTCAATACACTGTCTCCTCTTCTAGCCCTCTGTGCCAGAGGGTGTCATCAGATAATGTGGGCAGAAAATCTATAAGCAAGAGCCTCTGACACAGGACTAAATTGAGTCAGAATGTGTTTTTATGCTTAGTCAGTTGGTTGAAGTAATTAAGTTGCGATATCAGTCGAACTTCCTCAAGCAACGGTTTTTGATCTTAAAGAGGACCGCTTTTTCGCCAGCCGGCGATAGCGAATTTAACGCACCCACAGAAGCTGAAACCAGACATTACAATAATCTTATCCACATGCATGTCACATTTTCCCCCATCCAAACTGTGATATTCAACGCTCTGGCCCTGAACAGCAGGCAACAGATTTAAAAATACAACATTCATAGCAACAGTGAAAATGCAAAGACTGAATTCCCACATCATATCACATCACAGTATGATCCCCTGACTGATGCATTGGAATAAAGTAGGTCTGCCATTAACCACCCTCAGCAACGTTAAAAATATACTCATTATCATTTCACATCAAATGCAAAATCCTCTATTTCTTCATCAAGTAAGAGTTCCAATCCAAAAAGAAGCATCATTATAATCATTTCTGGTAGTGTTGTGCCAAACCTCCAACATCAATGGTCAATCTGAATTACATTTAATCTGAATCTAATTGCAGTGACATTATCGGTTTTAGCTCATAACCATTACTCAAAAGTAAACTCAAATAAGAGCGAAGCTTTATGGGTCTCTGCCAGTCTATTTCACACCACAGAAATGTCACGAATTGCTCCCAATACAAGGACTTTAGAAAATGGAAACTGTTAATAGAGTTATTTAGGTGCTAACAAGCAGCTTCCGGCCATCTGTCAGCAGTTGGTAACTATATTCAGTTGCAAATAATAACAAACATTGACATAAACAGATAATTCAAAACACATTTCCCGTATATAAATTCCTTGCCTATAGACTAGAAAGGTGACAACAGGTGAAGGACGAGCATTATGACTTATTTAGTTTATTCAGTCTGCTCTCGATGGAGGTAAACAACGTTAACCGATACAGACTCTCAACCCAGAGGAAAACTCAGGGTCAAATGGCATTTACAGAGCAAGAGTCCTAAGAAAACCTATGAATAATGTATAAAACCTAGTGTTGCTTCTTTTTCTACTGAGCAGAACTTACATGGTGCGTGATCAGACTCATAAGGAGCCCAAACGTACACTTCATCAATTGATGTCATCGAGTGACCAGAGAGAAGTACAAAATTTGTCACAGGCCAAAAGTTTACAAGTTGGCACCGCACCAGTTTTCCTGACTTCCCTATCGCCGTGATGGAAAAGTTCATTAGCTCATTCAATTATGTAATAGAGCCATCTTGGCGGAGCCTGAAATCACCAGACCTTAACATTCCAAGCAAAAGCTCTTTCCATTGCTTTAAAAGCTTCTCTGGACTAATGAAGTCTGGAGAAGTGACTTCATACCGCACTTGGCTATGCATACGCCGAGAGCCATGCTTCTCTATCATACGCCCAGTTTCCACGGCAGCTCTTCATGTTGTCCAACCAGCGGCCACAGAAAACTCTTTTTGCAGTGGCAAAACAGGGAAATGCAGTACTCTGTGCTTTATGATCAATGGGTTCGTAGCGCTCTCACAAAGACCCAGGGAGTGAGTCATTGCTGCGACAGCCTCTCCATACTACAAAAGTCACTGCACTCCATCACACATTGTTATAGCACATCATGTAGGTGTATGCTTTTGTATTACATAGTTGATTATTAGATCTGACAATGCCATGCGGTATTGTGGTACAAAGTTACAAGTCAAGGCATCGAGACTTCCGTGCAGCCTTCTGACTGCCACCTCCCAACTCCTTATTTCTTACAGGTGTTTCATTTAACTTGTCTCTGGCAATTTCCAGTGCCAATTACAGACACATTTAGATAGCAAAAACTATTGCTAATGCCAAAACATCCATTAATGGTATTAAAGCATGCGGAGAAGTTTATACAAACCCATCTAGCATGCTTTCTAAACTAGCCCATCTGCTCCAGATGGCCTCAAGGTTTGACATCTGCAAGGCTGATAAAACTCTTCGCTTCCTCCAGACCTCCACAGGCTATATCTGGGTCAATGACATGATGCATCTATTAAACTATAAAATGATACATTTAAATGCAAAACATCCAAAAATATTTTCTAAAATAGATATGCTTCAAATTCTCAATTCATGTTCATCTTTATTTGTGGTGCTTAAAGTAAACAATTCTTAGGTGTTGTAGCTGCATGGAGATTTTATTTTGTATATGAAAAATATGAAAATGTGTGTCTGTATACAAATGTGTGTGTGTATATATATATATATATATATATATATATATATATATATCCCTCAAATCCCAAATAAAAGTCAGCGAGGCATAGCCAACATGCAGCCATTTTGTCATGTGACAAGAAAACTATAAAAAAATTAATTTAATGTAAAAGAAAGTGTGTTTAGCTCAAATAATGTAAAAAAACATACATATGTTTTAAATAACGTATTTAAATAATGTGTGTGTGTACTGTATGTATATATATATATATATATATATATATATACTTTATATATATACACACACAAATTTTTTTGATGGTTAAACAGCATTTTTTATTTAATTCGATGGACTTGTCACAATATACCCATTTGATTAAATTTGATGGACTTGTCACATGCATTTAAATTACATTTTTAAAAGATTTCTCCTCCTTATCTCGTACATGCTTATGTCACTGACCCATCTTCAAATATTTCACTTTTGTTGCGGCTAATGAGAAATGACCAAGAGATTCAATATGTCAGACAGACTGAAATATCATTCCCCATTAAAATATTCTCACTGCGAGGCAGCCCACCTATCCAACTTGTAAAGATTTTTCTCCAGTAAACCTTAATAAAAACATTCAATCCTGACAGGTGATTAGCATATGAATCAGTGATATGCATTCACTCTAAGAGGCGTTGATGCACAACAGTAAAACCTGTTGTTTAGAACAAAGTGATGGGCAGAACTTCCGTCTGCTATATTCACAGAGCAATGCCGAAAAAACGCCATATGATCACAGAAAAGTCTGATTCGCCAAAGTGCCGCACTACTGGTCAATATATATGTTGAAGCCATTCTCTTCTAAATGTCTCACAGACATCGTGCCTACAGCTATTATTTTGTGGAAATCTCACTTCTGTAGCGGCAAGTGACCGAGAGTCAATATGTGAGACAGACTGAAATATTATTCACCATTAAAATATTCTCATTGCGAGGAAGCCCACCGATCCAACTTGTAAACATTTTTTCCCCAGTAAACCTTAATAGAAACATTCAGTCCTGACGATTAGCATATGAATCAGTGATATGCATTCACTCCAAGAGGCGTTGATGTACAACAGTAAAACCTGTTGTTTAGAACAAAGTGATGGGCAGAACTTCCGTCTGCTATATTCACAGAGCAATGCCGAAAAAACGCCATATGATCACAGAAAAGTCTGATTCGCCAAAGTGCCGCACTACTGGTCAATATATATGTTGAAGCCATTCTCTTCTAAATGTCTCACAGACATCGTGCCAAGACCAAGAAAAATCGCTATGATGTCAACAAATCAACATCGACGAAATGTATCGAGCGACGCTTCTCCCGCAAGGAATCCGTGAGAGATGTTCAAAGTTGACCCATTTCCATGCACTTACCTTCTTCTATCTGCCGCCGCTGTTGCCAAACACCTCCAGTATGATCACCTAAACACAGTCGACTGCAGATTTTTGGGTATCTCGTTAATCACTTGAGGTACGATGGCCCCCAATACGACAAACTCCATTCCCCACGTACGGAAATCACACGCAATTCTCCCAAAGCGCGATACCAAGTGGGAAAAGCTGTTGCGCTGTCCAGTGAAAGTGGTGCTGAAACGCTCTCGGAGCCGAAGTACTTTCCATTTCTCCAAGTCTCCGTGTCCATTCATTCAATATTGGCAAATACTGTTCTTGTGTTAGGAGCTCATACCTGAAGAGATAGTACTGCACTGAGCATAACTGGAGAGCAGAGCCGTGCTGAGATGTAGGCAGTGCTCTTCAGTCGAAGCAGTGCGTTCAACGCCCACATAGCCCACTCCATTTGATCACACACACACATACACACTCACACAACGCAGAAAATACACTGACTGATGAAAGAGCTTTCGTGCAGCTAACAAAAAATGATTGATCTCTTTAATAAATATGTCTGCATATGCACGGACTTAAAAGCACGTAAGGATGTTTTTAATAAAGGCTACAGGAAATTCCTACAAGAAAATTCAGGCAGGATTTCTAATAGAATTATATTTACAATTATTTAAGCAACCTTGATGAGATACAAGTGCAAAAAATGCTGGAGATACAAATGATGAGATAAAAATGTAATAAAAATTGATTAAAAATGCTACAGAATAAATGAATAATTGTTTACTGTACATTACCTTACAATATATAGTAAAGGTTTATATTTTAAAAGTCAATAAATGAAATAACTGTAAATAAATGCAATTTATGGTAATGAGTGCCCTATAAAAATGCTTTTTAGAAGTAAAAATTATGAAATACCTTCTAATTTATTGATAAAAAAATATTATATTTAACAAGACAATGTGTATATCTCACATAGTAATGATTTATTATTATTATTATTAATTAAATATCATAATTTATGGGGAAATTTACATTCCCACAATACCCTGAAGGACAACAGATGTATATCAGCTCAGATAAGTTGGTATACTAACATTATATAATATATACAATTATATCAAATATACAATCACACAGAATTCTGTAATGCCTATAAATATTGTCGCTGTAAATTGTTACAGTTAAATAACAGCAATCATAGTTGCTATTTTACCATTTTACTGTAAATAAAAGAACCACTACTGAATAAACAATAATATTGAGAAGAAAAAAAGCACTTCAGTTTATCCAGGAGGATTTTATTAGATTTTTATTTTTTAAAGCAGTCTTGTTTGATCCCATTAGGATGGCTTTTTTTTATCTACTGTATTCTTCAGTTTGGAAAGGAAATTAGTTGAATATGCTTTTAAAAGCAGTGTAAATGTCCTGGAGACAATTGTACAGCTTCTTGTACATCCAAGATGTAAAATATAAAGCATAAAGATTCAGGGCATTGATAACCACGGTGCAGTGAGCAAAAGAGGATTTAAAAATACAGAATGTCCTGAAGGACACTTTTTTGGAATGCTAAATATACCCATTTATACGTTGCTGTTTTTGAGGACACATTTAGTCACAAAGCACGTTACTACAAATCTGGGCTTGAATAAAAGGTAGGCAACATCTACGTTTGGATGGTAGTGTTGTATTTGAGCATTCTCTCGGGATATTTTATTATGAATTCGTAATAATTTATTCACATACATGCCTCCAACTTCAGTGTCTTCCAAACCATTTCCCCAGGGGATTATGATAACAAAATGACTAATGTAGTGTGCACAATATACTGGTATCTTCCTAGTGTTAACCTATACAGCTTGTTGCTCATGCTAATCTTAAAAAGGCAGAATGACATTTTAGGTTAAACCCCCTTCACAAGAACTATTTATCAGTTGTTTGCTGACAATTTTATTTTTTTATTTTTTTTATTCATTGACACTCATGTAAAGTCATTTCTAAAAGTCTAACTATATCAGTGGACACGGAGAAGGAGTTGCAGACCAGTCTGGTGAGACAAAATTATATCCAGAACAGATTTGTATATCTTTTTACAGTAATATACAGTATATGTCATATTTTTCTTATTCATTCTTATCACTTTATTGCTCCCTGCATCTGCATTTAATTCTGTGAATTTGTATAAATGTTTTTACTGAGGTCATTTGGCATTACCTCTTGGCCCATTCAGCTATAATTGAATGTTCTAGGAGTAAGCTAAGACAGTTTATTACCAGACGCAGTCAATGCTAATTCTCCAATTAGGTTTTATGCTATCCAAAAATTCTGAGCTTTATTCGTGTTTTGGGAAATCGCAGAAATAAGTGCACTTTTTAAATTGTACAATATCACCCCCTAGTGGAGAGAAATGCTTACTTATGGCCAAATTTTTTTACTACAATTTACACATACCTAAACTGCAAACATCAGTTCTCCCTTTTATTTTATTTTAAAATAAATGTTATGTTATGTATGTGTAGAGTATGTATGTATACATACTCTACACACACACACACACACACACACACATACACATTTATAAACACACAAAACTGAAAAAAAAAACTGAATATGTGACAGTTATGTATGTGTAGAGTATGTATGTATACATACTCTACACACACACACACACACACACACACACACATACACATTTATAAACACACAAAACTGAAAAAAAAAACTGAATATGTGACTGCATCGAATATATGATGTGTCACCAATAATCTTGGTGGGTGGTGGCTTGTAAAATCCATGCAGTATCTTTCCATCTACTGTCTATTCCTCCTAAGCATTCTAAAAAAAATCATCAATACCAAAATATTACAAACAGAGCTAGATTCAGTAGAGTCCTGCAGCACCGTTTTGTCCCTGTCGGACAAAGCCCATGCCTCTTTGGTGTCTAGCCAAGCAGCTTTACTGCTCAGAAGCCAAGCTGCCAAGCCACTGTAGGAACATTGGCCAGCATGTTACTGATAAACTCCTCAAGGTGGCAAATTACAGTGCTGCCAGAGTCTCTGCTCATCTTGGCAACACGACCACTTTTAGTACAGAGCTAGTGCTTTTGGATCATTGCTTTCCCTATATACTCTTTCTTACACACACATATATTCAAACAGGAATGCTGTTAATCATTTCACATGCAAAAGTGTTAAAAAGTGTTAACACAGAAGCCATGAAGGCACAGCAGCAATCTATCTATCTATCTGTCTGTCTGTCGGTCGGTCGGTCTGTCTGTCTGTCTGTCTGTCTCTGTCTTTCTGTCTGTCTGTCTGTCTCTCTCTCTGTCTGTCTCTTCATTAAATGCAATTATCCATCATGGTTTTCAGTTCAGCTGTGCAAATTATGCTGTTTTGTGATGTATTGGTGGTATTTAGAGTGAACTGATCTGTTCAAATGCTGTCATCTTGATAAAGTTTGTTGTTTTTGAAAAATGCAGTTGATCCTTTTTAAATAATGAGTAGCTTGACAAGCTCCAGTCAGAAGTGGCTTCCACAAAAATGATGTGATGTGCTCTAAGGGCCCAACGCTTTCCCGCATTCATGAGAGGAAGGCCCTTTCAGTGTTCAGACTTTATACTTTACAAAGTCTCCCTTTAAAACGTAAAAGATTTTCTCAGCATTTTCACAGTAACTATTTTAAACCGTCCTCTTTGCACCAACTGCAAAACAAAGCCCCGAAGATAAAGCAGCAGAAGGAGGGAATGAAGAAAAAACAGATAAGGAAAGATTAAATACAGTTGTATTTTGTTTTCCAACATGCTCGAAGTAGGGCTAAAATAAAAGATATATCCAGACTTGACGTTGTTCAGTGGGCTTACTTTTTTTTTTGTGACATTTAAATAAGCCTTGGATTTAGGGGCATAGTCGACAGGCAGCACAGAAAGATATACAGCCAGAAGATGGATCATAGTGAGGACACTTCAGAGGGAATAATTCACACTTAGCGGAGCTCATTGTCGACTACAATTATTAACTGACATTTAAATGTCCCTTGCTAATATTATGTTAACCTATACATCACCAAGCCCACTAGGAGGGGATAAATAAAACAAATGGCACACACTAGAGAAAGGAAGGATGAGGCTAGGCCAGATTGCTTCATGCAAATCAGTTTCAGCAATTTCTTTCTCAAGTGTTTGTAGGTGACCAAATACTTATTTTCCCGAGGAATTTACCAATTAATTCTTTAAAAATCCTACAATGTGATTTTCTGGATTTTTTTTTCTCATTTTGTCTCTCATAGTTGAGGTATACCTATGATGAAAATTACAGGCCTCTCTCATCTTTTTAAATGGGAGAACTTGCACAATTGGTGGCTGACTAAATACTTTTTTGCCCCACTGTACATATATTACACATGGCAAATCTTTAATATTATTGATGCACAAATGACTTGCCAGCACGATAATCATCTTGCAATTTAGTGACATCGGTCTAATGCAAAAAAGCCTATCATTGCTAATAATATTGAACTAATTGATCACTTACATCCTAGAGTAAAATTCTAACTCCCAGAGGCACAGCATCTGAACAGTGTCTATTGCCAAAGTGTATACTTTAATTAACAAACTACTTCTGCACCATTAACTGACAAAAAAAAGAACAAAGTGCAGTACGGTGGCTGTAGGAAATGACTGCATTAAATAACTTGGGGTGAACTGCAGGGCTGAAATTGTGACCAGCTCCTAAGTAAATTGATTTTCTACTGTTATTTGTGTCTACACATAACCCTTGATGCGGTGCATTGGTTAGACAACAGCTAGAAAGGGTGTACTATAGCCTTATAGCCATACAGCAGATCAACATCAATAATCATTAAAGACATTCAGATTGTTGGCAGATCCATAGTGGATTCAATTCAGCCTCATGTTCATTAGGTGACTACATTAAAACCAGTGGCATCATAAATTATATCATACTGATTTTTAGATACTTTCCCATCATCCTGTGCAACAAACACTGCTGGTAGCAAGATAACAGTTTACTGGCCATAATAGGTATAATTTGGCCATAATAGGTAAAAACATTATATATATATATATATATATATATATATATATATATATATATATATAATGAGTATTTAAATCTGTAATTTAGCATTATTCTTGAAGGATAGTCAATAGTTGCATAGCTTTCAACCTGTAAGTTTTATCTCAAAATTCTGCCACCAATCTCCATTATAACTGCCCAAGCTTCTCGTAATAACATAGCGCTCATTGATAAACAATCTTCAGTAATTGTATTTTTATGCTCCACAGAACACCTGTTTGCAAACAGCACATAAGCATGAGGTGTAGATACTTTCACCAAAATGTATACTGCGGGTTTGTTGTAA